ATCTTCAATATTAAGGGTTGGGACGATCCCACACTTAAGCTCAAACATGCTCCTCAGCTTCAACTTCGGGTACTCAGACTTTTCCTACTCTGCAAAACAAAAACAACACAAAACTTAACACTATATCAAAAAAATAAAATAAAAAATAAAATACAGATTGGGTTGCCTCCCAACAAGCGCCTTATTTATAGTCGTGGCACGACTCTGCTACTCAGGCTAGGTGCTTTCTCTTCTTCTTCTTCTTCTTCTTTCTCCAATGAAGTCTAGCCTTTTTGCACGCTCTCGGAATGTCTCCCCTTTCATCTCTGGCTTTTTTCGCAATCATCTTTACACACTCAGCTTGAAACACCACCTCCTCTAACCCAGTTGTCCCATCTGGATCACTACAATTCACATAAGGACTTTGCTCTATCCCCTTCAATTCTACCACAGTAATCATGCACAAATTCTCATAATGTTTAGGGAGCTTAAGTGCCTTGTACACATTAAAAGTAATTTCCTCATCATCAACTCTCTTTTTCAGCTTCCCTCCCCTCACATCAATAATCGCTCCACCAGTAGCTAGGAATGGTCGCCCCAAAATAATGGGCACTTCCTCACCTGCCTCGTAATCAAGAACAATAAAATCAGCAGGAAGAATAAACTTTCCCACTCGAACTAACACATCCTCAATAATTCCATCTGGCATTACTATTGACATATCTGCCAACTATAAAGTGATTGTAGTAGGTATAAGCACACCCAATCCGAGTTGCTTGAACAAAGATGATGGCATCAAATTTATACTAGTTCCTAAATCACACAGGGCTCTACCAACTTCTTGTTTTCCAAGAGACAGGGGAATTGTGGAACTCCCAAGATCCTTCAACTTAGGAGGAAGTTTACTCTGAACTCTAGCACTGCACTCTTTAGTATCAGTGTCAATGGATATTTAAAAACATACTAAACTGACCGAATTGTACCATGCCGAACCGATTTTTAGATTTCTTTTAATAAAACCGTAGGTTTTTATATAAATATATAACCGTACCGATAATTAGGGTAGATTTGTTATTTTATAAAAATAAACTGAAAAAAATACCGAATCGTACCGAATGAATTTACATGTGAAAAATATATTTATATATTAATTTTAAAAATAATAATGTATTAAAATTTCCTTATGCCTTGGAATTACAAAACAGTTACAAGCCAACAAGTAATTAAACTCAAAATCCTAATCTCAAACATATAATGCTACTCCTATTGAAATTAAATTATTTCCAGTATATTTACTAGCAAGACACAATGTATTGTAGCGATTAGTAGCAAACTGCAATGTATTGAATATGTTTCCTTTCCTATGATTTAGATTTATCTTTTTGAATATTTAATCTTCTATACACTTTATTCTTGATTTCCAGCTTGGTTAATATCTTTTCGCTCGTGTGATTTATATTTCTTTGTCTTTGATTAGTTTCTTTTACGCTGTTGTAGAATAGTTGATGGATCTATACTCTGGCCATCTTGCGATATTTTCTTAATTCATCACCCATTAAATAGTAATAATGTCTAGAGAGTTTACTAAGTCCTATAAAAGTAAGTATGTTATTGCATTCTACTTCTACTAATGACTTTTACATGATATTAAAAAAAATACCTAAAATTAACCGAACCGTAGCGATACCGAAGAGAAACCGAGATGATTGGGATAATTTCGAAAAAACTAATTTTGGTTATACATAATAGAATAACCGAAAAATTGGTATGGTACAAATTTTAAAAAATAACCATCCGAACCGAACCATTGACACCCCTACTCTTCAGTAAGTGCAGCTGTTTCAAACTCTATATGTCTTCACTTGTTTGCCACAATATCTCTAAGGTACCTTTCATACTTAGGCACTTCCTGCAAAATTTCCACCAACGATAAATTCACACGCACTTGACTCAAAATATCTAAGAATTTTTTGTACCTAGCATCATCTTTTTTCTTCTGCAGTTTTTGTGAAAATGGAGGTGGTGGCGTTGTCACAATTACTGGCTCTGATCCTTTTTCCTCTTTCCCATTCTCCTCAACTGGCTTGGGAACTAATTTTCCTTTAGGACTAGCCGTATACTTCTTTTTCTTCGGAACGTCTTCTAATACTTTTCTATTTCTCAAGGTAACCCCATTAACTTGAGCTTTCGGATTAGGCTAAGTATTACTAAGAAGAGCTCCAACTGGTCGAGTATTTTGGGCATTGGCAAGTTTTCCCATTTTTCGCCAAAAACTTGTCGCTCCCAAACGCACACACAAGTATACATGGTTGTACAAGTAATAAAGTGATAAGTCGAGTGTCGAACCCACAAAGACTTGTATTAACTACCCACTAAATTCACCAAGATTGTTATTCAGTCGAGACAATCAGTGTTCAAAAGTGTGATTATACTAAACAATAATTCTAACCAATAACTAAATTATCAAGCAGCAAAACGGTTGTTGTGTATTTAGTAGAGACAAATATTCCAGGGTTGTGATAGATTCACCAATCCTATTGTGCTCTAATTAACTCTCCCTTTCATACAATTCACTCATGGTTGCGAATTAATCGAACAATTGTTCTCGTAGTATTCTCCCGAATTCCTACTCGCATATTCAAAGTAGATTAACGCCTATACTCCTGTGGAATCAATCTATTAAGAACGCATTAAGATTACGATATTTAATTAAGCACGATGACTAGGTATATTCCTATCCTAACCACAAATCCGCCTCCCTCAGAATTAAGGTCATGCTCTCTTCAATTCTTCTCTAATCTAAACATGGCTTTCCCAAGCATAGCATAGATAGTAAATAGAACCTAACTGTTGGCCAGACAATTAAGCAATTAATCACAAAATTGAAGAAACAACCATATAATGGTGGATTGTAATCAAGGTTAAGTCAACTTTAAACAATAATATTCATGGCTAAATCACAACCCCAGAACTATTGGTCTTGTCCACTCATGATAATATCAAAACAAATTCACAACTATTGAATAATTGAAAATACTAAGAAAAGATGAAGAAAACTGAGATATCCTCGCTCCGGGATGTTCCTTGTGTGTATTTTCCCTTCAAAGTGGCGTCTCCCCTCACAAAATAGGCTTAGTCTTGCTTTTATACGCGTTGGGTAGGTCTTGGGCCGAAATAACCTTGTCCCAAGTAAAGTTGGGGATGTTTCCCGTTACCAGTGCCCAGGGTAGCGTGGGGCGCTATCCGTGGTGCTGAAAAAATAAAGCTTCTGGAAACTGCGCCACAGGTAGCACCCCATGCTGCATGTGGCGCTACAATGGCCATTTTCAACCTTTTGCTACTTTTTGGCTCTAATCTCGCACCTTTCGCCCCATATTGCTTTCGGATGATTCCTACATATAAAAACACCACGAACTAGCATAAATCAATATATTTCACATTCGAAATCCACGAAACACGAGTAAAATATGAGGCGATATACATACATACATACATACATACATACATACATACATATATATATATATATATATATATATATATATATATATGTATACCGCTGCGGCGTGCAGCCCGATCCGTAATTATATAATTCTCACCNCCGACCCTTTCCCACTTTGCTCCCTATTGTTTTTTACTTAATCTGAACTATTTGCTTATGACATATTTGCTGCGACTTATCAGGTTACTTGCTGTATTCTGTGTGATCAACTTATTAAATTATGTGGATCGTGGAACTATTGCGAGCAATGGTGTTAATGGAAGCCGAAAAACTTGTACGAAAACTGGTACATGTTCTCCTGGCAGCGGAATTCAGTAAGAATTCTTTTGAAATTTGTTCTCTTTCCTCTCTAGTCCTGCTTAACACTAAAGTTCTAGATTTATGTTCTCTGCCTGGCTCATGTTTGATACTATGTATTTTTCCTGTTCTTCATTTTCTTCTGTTGATTTACTAGTGCTTATAATTGAGTGTTCAGTTGTTTCCTGGATGATGTACCTTGACATTCTCTTGGACGGTTACTTTTCCTTGCCAAATTTAATGATTGAACTATTTTATGTTACATATCCTCATCGTCTGATCATGAGCTTCCTTCTGTCTGTTTCCAGGGGTGATTTTGATTTGAGTAATTTTCAGGATGGTGTCATATCATCTGCTTTCATGGTCGGGCTTCTGGTGGCGGTCGCCGCTCCTGCGGCATTTCTTCCGCTTCTGCGGATATACTCTATTGCGCCCAGGACCGCTTCTGCGGGCGCCGCATATGCGGGCCTCCATCCGCTTCTGCGGAAGCCCTTCCATGGTTCCATTTCCGCACCTGCGCCTTTCCTACCGCATCTGCGGAACCGCATCTGCGGCCCCCTTTCCGCAGATGCGGAAATACTAGATACCAGCCATTATCAGCAATGCTGCAAGTCCAAATTCATCCCGATGGCTATCCGAAATCACCCCGAGGCCCCCGGGACCTCAACCAAAAGTATCAACACATCTTAAAACATTATTCAAACTTGCTTCAATCATCAAAACACCTCAACTAACACCAAAATTATCAAAATACATAGAATTCAAGCCTAAGTTTCTTCAAAAACTTCCGAAAAACGCATTCGATCAAAACCCCAACCAAATCACCTCCGAATAGCCTGAAATTTTGCACACACATCCAAAATCACCTAACGAAGCTATAGCAACTCTTGGAATTCCATTCCGACCCTCGGATCAAAATCTCACCTATCAACCGGAATTNGTTTCCGTTACCTTTTAGTTTTTTAGTTTTACTTTTTACGTTTTTAGGTCCGACCGTTACGTTAAACCAAACTAATTACTACCAACGAAAGTAAACTATACTACACCAACTACGTGGTCGATGTAGTGAATTCTTTGTTGAATTCTATTCACAGATAAATGACTTTTCTTTTACGGATTCATTAAATGGTATCTGCTTTGCTCACTACTGCAACATTGCAGGTGATAGCTTTAATTCCTCTTTAGTTGCAGTAGTTTGTGTAGAGCCAAAAGTCCTTAAGGAATGAGCATCATGTGAGGGAATCAAGGTATCTTTTAATCTTCAACAGTTAGGTGTTGTGAAGGAGTTGAATGGGTCAAACTATAACTAGAATTTGTCTACTGTCTATATTTAAGAGAAAGGAGAGTTGCGAAGTCCGAATTCCGATTATCGAACGGAGCCGTCGGCAAGAATTGCTTTGGGCGAATCCTCTGTGGGGATATCGCAATGGGATACGTGCAGGAAGCCCGAGAAAATCACGTCAAGAAGAAGGTAAATTTGATATTAATCATATATTGTCATTTGTGAAGCATCAAATAGTTGTAGAATACAACCCCGCCCATTACTACTTTGTGGAAATAAATGCCAATTTTGTACGAATGTATATATTGTAAAAATTGCTCATATTTTATGTAGTTGAAGTCGAGTCTCAAATGTGAGCTTCAAATGAAAAAAAAAATAATTGTTTAATCACCTCCATATTCCGCAATTCATTTTCCACATCTGTTTAAGTTTCTAATAAACCATTTGGAAAGCTGGAGTTGTAGGCCTAAGTTCTGTTTGAGTAATTTTTTTTGGCATATCAATGGTATGAGGCAGAAGGACTACTTGCTGATATATGGCACTATATGTGAGCAGTTCTCCTTTTATTTTTTTCATCGTGTTTTATACTGCTTATCAAGGACATAATCTTCTCCTCCATTGTAGTTTGTCAGATGCTTCAGTTAAAGCAAATTGTGTGGAGGTCATCATTTAGATTTCATGTTACATTGCATTAACCATCATATTTTGCATGTCTTATCATTAACTCTGCACATAACACAAGAATTGTGCTTATATTCACGCAGGTAGAAAATTATAACTTGCTTCTAGAGCATCCCATAAAATATACTTTGGTCAACTTTTTTATACTAATGATGGATTATTTGGGTTCTACCTGGTTTGGTTTCACAAGGGTGCTTTTGGTTGAAAATTGTAGAAGACTGTAGGGAGTGGCAATGCTGGATATTACAGTCTACCTTGAAGTTAATAATCCCTCCATTGATCAGCACAAAGATATGCGTTTGGACATACATCACATGTCCTATGAGGTGACAACTGGGTTTCTCGATTATATGGACTGTCTAACAATGGTTGACGAGTATATGTTAATTCTCTGCTTTATTTTTGTGGTAGTTACTACATGAACATGCAAAGAACATTGATGTGTATACTGGTTGAGATTTTGTATTATTGTTTTACTATCCCTGCAATTATGGGCGATGTGTATGTGCACTTGAAGTGAATTTTGGGAAATCTACTTTAGCTTTTGCTTCTTATAATTATCCAACCTTCTCTACTAATCATGTTTTAGTGCATAAATATTGGTGGTCCCTCGGATATAATCCTATGAAATTCATATATTTATTTTTTGATTTAATTCTTTAGAATGTGATCGCTAAATTTAGTCTGAAATAAAGACATATTTGTACTATATTATTTTTTCCTTTGAAACAATCCGCGCATAAGTATACTAGTCTATATATAAAGGAGGGAATAGAGAAGGTGACTTGGCACCTCTCCTATTTATCTTTTTTCTCCTTTTTCTGGATTTTCTCCCTATTTTTGTCTCATTTTATAAGATTAAAAGCACTCAATTTAAGGCCATCTATGATGCGTTGCACCACTCAATTAAAAGCCATCTGCATTCCATTCTATGAAACGGTTCAATAATTAAAGGAACGATGCAGTACCCGATTAAAAAGGATGGCATTCCATTGCGTGAAACGGTGCATCTCAATTAAGACCGTCATTACTCAATTAAAGGGGCTGTCATTCTATGGTACCAAATTGTGTATTACTTAATTAAAGGAGATTAAAATGTATTTTTCCCTTTTTGTAATTTTTCAGTCATTCTCTCATTAACTATGTAAACTAAAGGCAATAAAGAATTATAGTCCAGTAAAATAATAAAAAGTCGTAGCATGGGTAGTGTTGCCTAAAAGATGAAGAGATGTGAAAGCAATGAAGAAATTGAATAAATGAAAATGATGAAAAGTCATAGCATGGAGTCATCTTGCAACACAAGAGTAGCATTATATTTGCAGATTGCCAGTTTTCGTTGTGTCAAAGACAGAATTATGCCCTCCACTGCTTTTGAGAGCATACCAGTATATATAGCACGAAAATGTTGATGTCATTTTTAAATTAAAAAATATAGCGTTAGAGATTTGATTTCTTTTTTTTCGTGACAAATGGCACAAAAGATGATATCGTATGGATTTTTTGGAGAAAATTAAGCTTCTGCAAAAGGGGGAGGAGAGAGAGCGATTGCGGCACCCACAAAGATAAAAATCAGTAGGTATCTATTGTATTTATGTTATTTCACTTTTTTCTCATGAAGTATATATATATATATATATATATACACCCATTTGGATATATAGATATAATACGTCGTTCGGGAATTACTATGTGATTTAAAATTTGAATGAAGGATTAAAGGCTAATCTAGGATTTAATGGCTTCAAGATTTAAGTTTCTTTAGCATTAAACCCACTGTATTTTTAAAAATTATAAGTTTAAATTCATAATTGCGTACAATTTTAGTGAATCTTTATACATAACTTTATGTTGCAAATCGAAAGTATTGGGTTCACAAAAAATTGGTATAGCAATGCTGCATCAGCTTCTGTGGAGGATGTATATGTGATTAGGTTATCATAATATACTTATAAAAGAAGCTCTTGATGCGTCTAATTGAGAGTATATTATGATTAACAAACTCTAAAAATATATGGTCAAATAAAGCCTATGTCGTCCTTATATGCTGTGCTTGAAAATCTTTATTTTCTTATGCTCTTTTCTGGCTAATATTGGCATATTGCTATAGTTTGTTCTTTTATATTTAGGAATAAATTTGAGGGAAAGGTCCTCATTAAGGTTCTAAAAATGAGTCCAAATATGAGTGGAATTAATAGCTCCTTTTTTCTCTTCACTTTCAGAAATAATGGTTCTTATGCATGAATAGCCTATATCTCTATGTTTTTGCATACAAAAGATTTGCCACATAGAGGTGAGAGTATTAACTAAATGGCAGATCATGAATAAAAGTGGTGGACCATTGAGATTAAGTAGACCATTGTTTACTTTCTAAATGCAACAAGTAAATGGTGGAATATCAATTTAATTTAAAGTTCAATTCCACCAACAGAACTTGCAGTTCTCCAATTCTCCTTTCGTCTTCATCCAGCGGAATTTTAACAAATACTATTTCAATAAAAAGTGTCCATTGTCTTAAACATTAATACTTCACTATTTCTCGGTATAGCATAAACAATATATCAAAATAAGTGAAAATATACACTTGCTCTAATTGATGACTGAGAGAAGCCATCTTGTCGGCAACTTGATTTGCTTCTCGCCTTTTGTTCAACCAGTGTTTTTACCTCCATAACAACACTGTTGATTCTCTATGGTGTGGACCATATGCCTTGAATGCAGTTGTGAAGTAGCAAGGAATCAGTTTCACCAATAATCAGTCCATATCCTTGTTGAACGCACCATTTTAGGCCAAAAAGAAGGGCCTCCGCTTCTGCTAAGTTACTTGTTCATTGGTATAGCATAAGCCATAACCATTTTACCACCATTGTCTCTAACCCACCTCCACAATTCCCATTAACACAACTACCATCACTGTTTAACTTAACAAAGAGCAAGGGTGGTTTAATCCACTTGACCTCAGTTATGCACCTTTCAACCAGAGAGTAGTCAAAGAATTTACATATATCTTCCCAATTATTGTTAACGAGTTAACTAATTGGGCAATGTTAAAAGTGATAAGGCATTTGGATCTTGCCACTGATGGCCTCTCCATTTCATATTTGCTACAACACCTTGACCTCCACAGCTCCCATACAATAATAGGAGGCATAATCTGGAAAACAAAAGTAGCAACACAGTTTTTGGACTTATGATTCCAACAGTTAGCAAACAGAGTTCTTAAGGGGATGTTCATGTGAGCTATTCCAACCATTCCAGCAAAAATTGCCCACACTTGTGATGAAAAATGTCCCTCACAAAATAAGTGTTCACACGTTTCCTTGCCTGGGATCATTCCGGGAGAAGGGAAGCAACAACATTTAGAGGCTAAGGAAATCCCAAACCTCGTGATCCTTTCATCTGTTGCAATTTTTCCATGGACAGCTCTCCAAGCCAAGAAAGACATCTTAAATGGGACATCTTTATGCCATAACTTAGAGTCAAAAGGAGCAAGATCCTTTCTTTGTCTTAATGCATTCCAAGCAGAGGCCACACTGAATTTTCCTGAAGTAGTAATTGTCCAGATTGGAGTATCATCCTCTTCTTGGCCAATTGTGATGTGAACATAGGCTACCAAAGTCTTAACAGCTTCAGGAGGCTGAATGTGTAAGCAAGACCAGTCCCATACTCCATCTTTATATACTTTATTAACCTTGGTATTGTCATACCCGACATCTTCGCCTAAGCTGGAAGACAAAGGACCAAAATTGGTCCAATTATCATACCAAAAGCTGATATTACTTCTCCCAACTCTCCATAAGATGTTCTGCTCTACTTCATATTTCAATTTGCACATAGCCTGCCAATTATGGGATTTGCCAGCAGTCCATTGACTAATCAGTGGATGATAGATTCTACAATGTTTGGCTTTGACAAATTGGGACCATAAGGAGTTTGTTGTTCTGAACCTCCACCATTGCTTTGCTGTGAAGGCTTTGCAGACATCCTCCAACTTTCTAAAATTAGCCCCTCCCTCTTCATATGGAAATCAAAGTTTGGACCATGTCGACCAATGGTATCTGTCACTAGTCTCTTGCCCAGACCAGAAGAATCTAGCTAAGTACCTCTCAATTGTAGCGATAGTACCCTTGGTTGGATGGACTGCAGCCAATGTATGGGCATTCTGGGCCAATAGAACATGCCTGATAAGAACTGCCCTGCCTCCAGAAGAAAGTAGCTTTAAATACCATCCTTTGATCCTGTTAATCACCTTGCTAACCATCCCTGCAAAGGTAGATAACTTTTTTCTACCAGAATATATAGGACAACTGAGGTATTTGATAGGAAGGGGTTCATGTCTCATCTCTGTTGTTTCCTCAATCTTGCGAATGGATCTTTGTGTTGCAGAAGAAGCCAATGAGAAACTGCATTTAGATTTATTGATCTTCTGCCCAGAAACTTGTTCATATGTTGCTAATGCAGTTTGGATCAGCTGAAGAGTAACTTTCCCACCATTGCAAAAGAAAATAGTATCATCGGCAAAAGCGAGATGGTTGATTTGTGGACCATGACTACTCATGTAGAAACCTTTGTACCCTCTGTGCTTCTGGAGTTCATTCAATAATTGGGATAACAATTCAGCACTCAAAACAAAAAGAGAAGGTGAGAGGGGATCACCTTGCCTGAGCCCTCTCCCAGATTTAAAAAATCCATGCCTACTCCCATTCACAATTATTGTGTACCAATTGTTTGAAATATATCTGTGAATAATGTCAATCCAGCTCTCAGCAAAACCCATTTTTCTCAGCATGAGGCAGAGAAAGGACCATGATACTCTATCATATGCTTTTGCAATGTCTAATTTCATAACCACATTGCTCCCCTAAACAGGTTTCCCAATATCATTCACAATCTCTTGAGCCAACAAAATATTCTCAGTTATGGCTCTACCTTTAACAAATCCACTCTGATTATGTGAAATGATCCTAGGCAACAGGGTACTTAATCTAGCATTTAAGAGCTTAGCAATAATCTTGCTAGACACATTGCACAAACTAATAGGCCTAACGTCTGAGAAGGTTTGAGGGGATTCCACCTTTGGAAGCATTACTAGACACGTGTGAGTGAAAAATCTTAGTAATTGAGCTCCATCAAAAAAGGCCACTACATCATTAAACACAGTTTCAGCAATAATAGACCAGGCACTTTGGTAGAACCTGCCAGTAAGACCATCAAGTCCAGGTGCACTATCAACATCCAACATGAAGACACATTTTTTAACCTCCTCCATGGTTGGTATTTCAGTGAGGAAAGCATTATCCGCTTCAGTAACAATTCTCTTCACCACATCCAGCACAGTAAGATCTTCAATGGTTATTTCAGCACCAAATAGTTGTTGAAAGAATCTGACTGCTGCTCCTGCCACCTCTTCCGTACCTTCCATAAGGTTGTCATTATCATCTCTGATCCTTTGGATGTTTAATTTCTTCCTTCTATCCTTGATTGCAGCATGAAAGAAAGCTGTGTTATCATCACCCTCTGTCAACCATTTAACTCTTGCCTTTTGCCTCAGAATTGAGTC